CCTTAATAAATTTAAAAACATTGAAATACTGCAAAGCATCTTCTCAGATCATAATGCTATCAAATTAGAAATCAACAATAGGAAGATCAACAGGAAAAGTGTAAACACATGGAAACTGAACAACACCTTCCTTGAGAAAGACTGGGTGAGAGAAGAAATCAAAGTTGAAATTCGAAAATTCCTTGAATCAAACAAGAATGAAAACAAAATACTCAAATTATTATACAATTACCAAAAACATGTACAACTTTTCTGGAAAGTATTATTCAAATTTTGGAATAATTATAGTAGTCTTGATGGAGAGAGATACCATTTATAAATAAATGACTCAATATCATGTGATCTATATTCTATTAAAATTACTATATCACTTATTTGCAATCAAAATCCCAACAGTACATATTAATTAAAATACAGAGAGTATAAAAATGGATTAAAATAAATAAAAAGCATGAGCCAACTATATGCTATCTACAATAAATTCACTTCAAATGTAACAATATAGAATGGAGTCATTAAGAAAGTAAAAAGACAACCCACAGAATGGAAGAAAATATTTACAAATCATATATCTGGCAGGGACTTGTATCCAGAATATCAACAGCCCACTTAAAGATGGGCAAAATATCTGAACAGACATTTTTCCAAAGAAGAAAGAAGATATACAAATGAATAATAAACACAAAGATGTTCACCATCATTTGTCATTAGGGAAATACATGCAAATCAAAACCACAGGTAATACCACTACATACCCACAGGATGACTGTAGCAAGGAAAATAATGGAAGACAACAGGTGTTGGTGAGGATGTGGAGAAACTGGAACTTCATACGTTGCTGGTGGGAATGAAATGATGCAGCTACTTTTGAAAAACATTCCTCCAAAATGCTAAACATTGAGTTTACCATATGACCCAGCAATTCCACTCTTAGGATATATACATAAGATTATTTATAGACAAATGTTCATAGCAACATTATTCATAGTAGTAAAAAAATAGAAACAACTTAAATGTCCAATAACTGATGAATGGATAAACAAAATATAGTATATACATTCAGTGGAATACTATCCAGCAGTAATAACAACAACAAAGTACTTATATGTGTTACAACATGGATGTACCTTGAAATAAGTGAAATAAGCCAATCACATGTTCTTTTATATAAAACGCCTAGAATAGGCAAATCTATAGAGATAGAAAGTAGGTTAGTGGTCGTCTAGGCTAGAGGTAAGATTAGGATTGAGGAAGACTGCTGATGGGTATGTGGTTTCTTTTTGGAGAGATGAAAATGCTCTAAAATTGCAGTGATGGATACACAACTTTGTGAATATTACTAGGAACCACTGAACTGCACACTTTAAATGGATACATTTTGTTAACAAATCGCAATAAAGCGAATCACAAAGCTGGTAAAAAATAAGTAAAAGGGTATAAAATGATACATCATGCCAACACTTATAAAGAGAACTAGAGTAGCAATATTATTATCAGGCAAAGAATTCCATGCATCGTACTTTAGAACAAAGAAAATATCCAGGTATAAATAAGGACATTAATTAATGATAACAAAGGAAATTCACCAAGAAGACAAATAAGACTAAGTGAAGGAAAAACTAACAGAACATTTAGTTCAAGGATAGACCACGAGAACAGAACACCTAGAACCAAGGACCACAATCATGAATATGTGGAAATGTGATATATCACAAAAGCAAAACTAAAAACTGGGGAAACTGGACTATTCCACAAATGGTAGGTGGGGTAGGAAAGGAAGAAGAGTGAGACTGGGGAGAGAGATGCAGAGAGTTCAGCCATATCTGTTATGGTTTTGTTTCTTTAAAAAAAAGAAAAAGAAAAATCTCAAGCAAACATGGCCAAATGTTAAGAATTGTTAAAATTGTGTGATATTCTTTTTTTTATATATATACACATACCATTTTTATCTGGTGTCTTTCACTCAAAAGCTCTCTCTTTAATCTTTTTTTTAAGATTTTTTTTTTTTTTAATTGTGATTTGGGTGAAAATTTACAGAGCAAATTCACTTTCCATACAGCAGTTCACATACACTTTGTCTCATGACATTGACTACAATTTACCACAATGCAACATCTCCCCTCCCACTTCCTCCTGATAGTTACCTCTTCCCTATGTCCATCCCTCCATGCACTCCTGCCCCCTGAGCTGTCTCCCTGTGCATAAACAGCCTTTTTTTCTCCCATGATTGTTCTCTCCAAGGAGTGTATCTACCTCAGGTAAATGTTCAACTCATATACCTGTCTTTTGTTTGGCTGGAGGCCACAGGTGTGGGTTCAATTCCAGACCTGAAGGGCAGCTAGGGACCATAGTCTCAGTGGTTCCACCAGGCTCTATCAGACCAGCAAACCTGGTCCTCATCCCCCCCTTTTTTTCCCAAATGATTTTGAGCTTTGTTCCACATTGTTTTCCTTCTCTGCCCAGGACCTCCTACATAGATGCCCCTCTGAGTGGTTGACATTGGTAGCCAGGCACCATCTAGTTCTTCTGGTTTCATAGTCATATAAGCTATAGATCGCATGGTGTACCAGTTGCTAGGACTAATTGTTTCCATGAATCTTTAGTTTTCCTCATTCTTCTTTGCTCTGGATAAAGAGAGACCCATCATTGCATCTAGATGGCTGCTTGCAAGCTTTTAAGATCCCAGTCGCTCCTCACCCAAAGTAGGAGGTGGAACAATGTTCTGTGTAGTATGTTATGCCAATTGAGCTTGATGTATGGTATTCTTGAGTGTTCATTTTATTACGCTGTCCAACACAGTAGCCACTAGGCAAAATTTTCACAAATTTAAATTTAATTTGAAATTTCATTCAGGCACCCCACTAGCCACATTTCAAATGCTCAGTGGCTGGTGGCTATAATTGAGACAATGCAAGTATCGATTCCTTCCACCAGCACAGAAAGCTCTAGATAAACCTGGTCTGTGCTTTTTTGTATGTTTGATATTTCATAACAAAAGTCAATGAGGAAAAGTTAAAGCCTGCAGTACACATGATGATGAGTGAAGGAAATAAAAGGAATGTAAGTGAAAGGGACATCCTATAATTCTCAAATTTACACCTCTGCAATTTTTCACTACTAGACTATTGATCTTTACTTCTTCCCCAAAGATTTCCTGAAACACAGGGAAATTAACTTATTGTTGTCTGTCCCAGACACCATCTCATTCTTTAGGATAGTTTTAATACTAAACCAAAACCAAACCAACTGCCATCGAGTGGACTCCAATCCATAGTAATTCCCATTGGGTTTCCAAGGTTATAAATCTTTACAGAAGTAGATTGCCTCATCTCCCTCCTGCAGAGCAGCTGGTGGGTTTGAACCACTGACCTTCTGGTTAGCAGCCAAATATCATACCCACTACTCCACCAGAACTCCTATTTTAATGCTAGATAGAGGGAAAGCCACTGTTTTATTTTGAGTACCTACTTATGCTGCTCAGTAACTGTTTGGAAAAAATTACCAAAGTATGAGCACTCTTGACTGCTCTGTGAATATGAACCCAGTTTTCTCACCTTTGGCTTTGAGGACCATGATTCTCTGCTGCAGGTCAATGAAGGGCTGGATCAGGCAGAGTCGAGGCTCCTGCTTTTGATTCAGGCAAATACCGTTGTGATTCACAACCATCCAGCTCCGGTCATACAGCAGCCCTTGGTTTCCTAAAGGCCACCTGGTCACCTAAACAAAAAGGTGGGTGTATTTTAGGGCCTCAGTAATGACCTTCACATTATTGCATAATGACTGCACAAGGGCAGACGGACTTCATGAATTCACTAAAATTAAAATTTCACTTAGGTGCCCCACTAACCACATTTCAAATGCTCAGTGGCTGGTGGCTATAAAGAGACAGTGCAAGTATAGATTCTTTCCATCAGCACAGAAAGCTCTATTAGACAAGGAAGGAAGCTCTGTTAGACAAGGAAGGAAAAGAGTACAAGAGTGTAAAAAGAAAAGTCAGTCTCCACCCCACCTGTTCCCCAGGATCCCTTCCCACAAGTGTCTATTCTTCCTGCTTTTTGTATGTCCTTCATGATAATGGGTGTCCGTACAGACCTATTCTTATACTACAGACATAGTTCTTATACAAATGGTAGTTTTTATGGATTGAATTGTTTCCCCAAAAAAATGAGTTGTAAATCCTAATCCCTATACTTGTAGAAGTTAATGAAGCCATATTACCATAGTGTGTATCTTAAGACAATCATTTTAAGATATAAAATAAGCAGATTAGGCATAAAGTAGCAAGTACAGTTGGAGAAAGACAGATGCCACATCACATGAAAATTGCCAAGGAACCGAGGAACAGAAGCTGAAGAGAGATAATGACTTTCCCCAGAGCCAACAAAGAGAGAAAGTAGCCTTCTGCTAGAGCCAGCACTCTGAGTTTGGACTTCTAGCCACCTAAACTGTGAGAAAATAAATTTTTGTAGTTAAAGTCCCCTACCTGTGGTATTTTTGTTAAAGCAGCACTAGCTAACTAAGACAATAGCTACACCAGAAGGGTCATTGTGTTGATCCATTTTAAATGTGAAATTTTTCCTAAATTCTTTTTATTCTCACAAAATTAAAATAGAAGTTATCAGATAGTCTATAGATGTTATTATGGATTAATAAATTCTGTGTCCACAAAAATATGTGTTTGATTCCTTACTCCTATACCCGATCCAGGTAAGTGGAGGGAGAGACCCCACCCAAGGCAGGAAGCAGAGGGAAGAAGCCAAAGCCAATGGCCCTGATCCTTGTAAGGGGAGGGAAAGACCACATCAAAGGCAGGAAGCAGTAAGAAGAAGACAGGGCTGACAGCCCCAATCCAGGTAAGGGGAGAGAGAGCCCCCAGCCAGGCAAGAAGCAGAAGAAGCCAGGGCCAACGGCTGGAACAGGTAGGGGAAAGTCCAGGAAGTGGGTGGAAAGGTTTAGAACAGCTAAGGGAGACGAACTTGTCTGTCAGTTTGTCCTACATTGGTGGCTTGCACGTTGTTGTAAGGCTGGAGGCTATACCACCAGTGTTTCAAACATCAGCAGGGTTGCCCATGGTGGACAGGTTTAGTGGCACTTCCAGATTGAGACAGACTTGGAAGAAGGAAAAGGCCATCTACTTCTCAAAGAATTGGCTAGGGAAAACCTTATGAATAGCAGAGAAACAACGTCTGATACATTACTGGACAACTTTATGAATAGCCCTGAAACACTATGCAATACAGTGCCGGAAGATGAGCCCTTCCAGTCAGAAGGCACTCAAAATACAACTGGGAAAGAACTGCATCATCAGAGTAGGACTGACCATAATGATTTGGGTAAAGTAAACCTTTTGGGAACTCCATTTTCTGATGTGGCACAACTGAAACTGAGGAGAAACAGCTGCAAACATCCATTAATAATCAGAACATGGAATGTATGAAGTATGAATCCAGGAAAACTGGAAGTTGTCAAAAATACAATGGAACACATAAAGATTGATATCATTAGTGAGCTGAAATGGACCGGTTTTGGCCATTTTGAATCAGACAACCATATGATCTACTATGCCGAGAATGACAAATTGAAAAGGAATGCCATAACATTCACTGTCGTGAAGAATGTTTCAAGAACTATCCTGAAGTACAGTCCTGTCAGTGATAGGATAATATCCATATGCTTACAAGGAAAGCCAGTTAATATGACTATAATTCAAATGTATGCACCAACCACCAAAGCCAAAGATGAAGAAATTGAAGATTTTTACCATTACCAACTTCTGCAGTCTGAATTGATCACACATGCAATCAAGATGTGCTGATTATCACTGGTGATGAAATGCAAAAGTTGGAAACAAAGAAGAATCACCAGTAGTTGGAAAATTTGGCCTTGGTGACCGAAATAATGCTGGAGATCGCATGACAGAATTTTGCAAGACCAACGACTTATTCATTGCAAATACCTTTTTTCAACAACACAAACACCACTTATACATGTGAACTTCACTAGATGGAGTGCACAGGAATCAGAGTGACTATTTTTGTGGAAAAACTCACTATCTTCAGCCAGAACAAGGCCAGGAGCTGACTGTGGAACAGACCCATCAACTTCTCATTTGCAAGTTCAAGCTGAAGCTGAAGACAATTAAAACAAGTCCACGAGAGCCAAAATATGACCTTGAATATATCCCTCCTGAATTTAGAGACCATCTAAAGAATAGATTTGATGCATTGAACACCAATGACCCAAAACCAGAGGAATTGTGGGATGACATCAAGATCATCCAAGCGGTAAGATGGAGGAATAGGCAGACAAGTGACACAGACCATCTTCAACAATCAAAGGAAAACCAATTGACAGAAATACAGAAGATAATTCCCAAGCTTTGAAAAGAACTATACAGCAGAGGATTAGGCACCAATTACTGGAAAATTCTGTACGAAAACAGTGAGTACAGAGACGGTTGGAGCTGTGGACTGTCAGCTACTCTGACAGGACAAACAGCCTGAATATTTCCAAGTGTGTTGGGACCTGAGAATTGACCTAAAGATCAGTCCTGGTCATCAACGGCTACAGGGATGGCTGTGCTGGTGGCCTATGACTAGGAAGGGAAACAGCAAGGAGGGAGACCACCTGAGCTGTTGACTTTCTGCTGTCCGGAGGGCACAGCCATTTTCATTGTTTATACGCAGCAGCCATTTTGGATATTTAAAGTGACCAAGGGTGCAGGCATTTTGAATGTTTACAAGCAGTGGCCATTTTGGATATACAAAGTGATCCAGGACACAGCCATTTTGAATCTTTACAAATGGCAAACATTTTGGATTTTGAAGTGACACCATTCTCATTCAGATTCCAGGGACCTAAGAATAGGCTCTGTTTGCCAGGGTTGGGAGGGATATACGAGAGGCTGACAACATGAAAGGAGACAGGTGGTGAATGCATAAGTGCTGTCAACTAGTGAATAGAGGAGCACAGCACAGTACCCTGCTTGCAAAGATAGCATACAAAGAAAACGAAAGCCGTGGGCAAGTCACTTCAACATATAATCACCAATTAAATATAAACACAAAAACGTCACAATGCCTCAGAGACAACAGAGCATCACAGTCCACACAAAGAAGCAAGATAAAGCAGGAAAAACAAGGGACCAGGACACAGACCCAAAACACATCCCTGAGGAAGATGCAACATTGGAACTCCCTGGTAAGGAATTCAAAAGAATTATATTTAGGTATCTTCAACAAATTGAGAGACAGATCAAGGAAAAACACAAATAAAACCCTACAATAATTTCAAAAGACAATACAAGAACAAAATGACAAAATACAAATTAAAAATTAGAAATGATACAAAATCTACACACAGAAATCCAAAAGATTAATACTAAGTTTTCAGAAATAGGTAAGACATTGAATGGGCAAAGGAGCAGAATTGAATCAATGGAAGACAGAATTAGGAAGCTTGATGGCAAATACCTGAACACTTTTTTTGAAAGTGATAAATCAGAAAAAAGATCCAAACAAAATGAAGAAAGCCTAAGGTTCATGTGGGATACCATCAAAAGGAATGACCTACATATAATCGGAATTTCAAAATAGGAAGAGACAAATAAAACCACTGAGAAAATTGTCCAGGACTTGTTGGAAGAGAATTTTCCTGGTATGATGAAAGAATATATCCATGCAGGAAGTCCAATGAACCCCAAACAGGACAGGCCCCAAAAGAAAATCACCAAGACATATCATCATCAAGCTTACCAAAACCAAAGACAAAGAAAGAATCCTGAAACCAGCATGGGAAAAACAAAAAGTTACCTACAAGGGGCAACCAATAAGACTAAGCTCAGATTTCTCGGTAGAAACCATGCAAGCAAGGAGACAATGGGATGGTATATATAAAACACTGAAAGAGAAAAATTTCCAAGAATTATGTACCCAGCAAAACTGTCCCTCAAATATGATGGTGAAATTAGGACATTTCCAGATAAACAGAAATTAAGGGAATTTGTTAAAACCAGACCAACCTTACAAGAGATGCTAAAGGGAGCCCTTTGGACAGAGAAGCAACAACAGCCAACAACTGACCATTAACACACAAGATGATATAACCCAGAAACCAACCCAGCTATGGAAGTAGCCAAAGTAAAGAAGCCTACAAGATTGTAAACAGGGAACCAGAGACACCAACCAACAAATGAGGACAATTACAAACCAAAAAGAGGGAAAAAACTGTGTCGTTACAGAACTTCTAGATGGTAGGGAAGTCAAGACAACTACAAGACAGAACGGACTGTTCTAAACTTGGGAAGAAAACTATAAATCACAGGGTAACCTCAAAGAAAAATGAAAAATCTTCACATCAAAAAAGAGGACCAGCATAAATATTCACCAAATACTAAAACAATAGCAGTGAAGGAAGTGATAACATGATTCATAAACAAAACAAGCTCAGCACAGAAAATTATATGGAACAAAGAAACTGACACCACAAAAAAGCACATAACAAATTTGATAGCAACAAATTCATATTTGCCGATAATTACATACCTGGCAAAGGACTTATCTCCAAGATTTATAGTGGAAGACTGGATGACCAAACTATGGTACATACTCATACTGTAATGCTATGCAGCACTAAAGAATAATGTAGAGTCTGCAAAACACCGCATAATATGGATGAACTTGGATGACATTATGCTGAGTGACATACGTCAATCACAGAAGGACAAATATAGTATTAGTTTATTGTTGTGGAGGGTCAAGGAAAGGTTTATACATGGAGGGAAACTTTCTTTAAGGTTGCAAGGGGTGGAAGGGGAGGGGAAGGAACACTAAAAAAAAAAAAAATGCATTGACCCATGTCACTTTAGTTTTGTGTATTTCACTGTACATAAATTATATTTCAATAGAATGCATTAAAACAAAAACAAAACACTGAGTGTGGTATTTGTGTTATTGAAGCAGTAGGTAACTAAGAGAGATGTTAATCCCTTTGTCTCCTTTTTTCTTCTTCTTGTTTATCAGTTAACCCTTCCACTTGGAATATGGCTACTTTTGTTACTACAGCACTCAAAATCAGTAATATCATGGTCTGTAATAGGTGAGCCCAGCAACCTTTAATGGGTCTTTATAGGTGAGCCTAGAAACTACTATTAAATCATTGTTTCTATAGGAAATCATGTTTTTAAATCCAAATAACTTTTTAGAGCACCATCTCTTATTTGGAGACAATTCCCTTGGATCTTTCACATGTCTGCATGTCTTATAAGCAGAAGCACTAACTGACTTTTTGTTTCACATATCTTTCCAAGAATGTCTGTACCGTGAATAGATATGCAATCTCTGGAATAGAGGACAGGTTTGCTTACTGCCCAGTATAAGAAAGATAATGTCTCCCTCCTGAGCAAAGGCCAAACAGGCTAGCTCATATCCCATTATGAAAGAGTCAGATTCCTAAGCTAGGGGTTCCTCAGCTGTGATACAAAGCCATTATGTATACAGCAGCTACCTGGAGCCCTTTACATCACGCCCCTGGGACTTGGATGAAAAGGAGAACGAATACATACATGAAGCTTATGCTGCTGGCTGTGCTGAAAATAATAGTCTTTTGTCTCTGACCCAAGGGTCTCATGTCTTTTGCCAACATCCATGTAACTGAAAGCTAGCTTGTCAGTTTACAGGTAGCGTAAAATCTCAGACCCTTCACAAATTTTAATAGGTATTTGTTGGAACAAGCCTATAATGTTCTATCCTTTCATTTGTTACCTAATAATTTCATTAACTAACTTCCTTCTTCCTCCTTCCTTCTTCCTCTTTGGGTAAGAGAAGGTATGTGTGTGTTGAGGGGAGGAGGAAACTGACATGTCTGAGATCAACCTCTGAGCTCACACAGCTGTAATTTTGGTTACAAAGGGGAATTGAACATGTAAGTATTCATGGAGGATAATAGGATCCAGGTTTCTCACAGAAGTTACAAACACAGAAGGGGGATAGCCAGAATAAGCCCTTTGTGTTGGATAGGAATTGGAGGTATTAGCGTGAAATTATGGTGATGGATGGATGGACGGATAAATAGATACAGAGAAAGAGGAAAGAAGATGGATGGATAGATGGACAGATAGACAAGTAGATAGGTAGATATAGAGAGGTGTGTGTGTTTTGAGAAGGTGTTTCAAAAGTCTTAGTATATAATATGTAGTAGGCAGAATCATGCATGTCCTCCAAAGATGTCCACTCTATCCACTAAGAGGACACGGAAGCAATGACAATCCAGAAGCAATGATCAGTCCTAGCAAAATATATTTGTTTCTAAATATCATTCTCTAATGAAAGAAGTAAGGCTCATTGATGAAACGGTCAGCTCCAGGAGCGAGGCAGTGGAAATACTGAAGGCTCTATAGTTGATTAGTGTGAGATGACAAAGAGCTTGGTCTACTGGAGGAACTAACAGAAAGCCCATATGGCCAGAGGTTGGAAAGTGGTATGACAGGAGGCTGGAATAGAGGGGAAGTTGAATGGCATGAGAAGTGACAGGCAGGAGCTAGATCACACATGGTCTCACAGTTAGTGGTTTTAGTCTAAGTGGAACAGAAAGCTGTTGAAGTTTTTAGTAAGACAATTATTTGATCTGATATTATTTTAGAAAGATCATACTGGCTCACCCTCTTCTAGAGGGTGAACTGAATTCAGTTCAGCTCTGCAGAGAGAGTAGAGCTGAGTAAGTCACATAGGAGCACGAATGCAAGGAATCAACAGACCTGGCTTCAAATTCTTGCTCTATCATTTATTAGCATGTGATAGGCAAAGTGTTTAACATTAATAACTTCAGACTCCATGCCTCTAATATGGTGATGATTTTACTATTTGTCTTCTATGATTGTTTTAAACACCAAAGGAAACAAAGCACATAAAATGCTTCAGCAAAGAACCAGCACACACAATTCAACGAACGTTTCATCTATAATTATTCACTAGGGGTTCACCACTCAGAAACAGTGTCCTCTCAGCAGTCACTGTAAGCAGAGTCATGTTAAAATCAGCCTATACCAAGAAAGTAAGAATGAGAATGGCTCTTCTTATGTCACAATACATAAGAAGATTTCATTTCTTGCATGCTTTTCTCCACTTCCTGCATGTTTTTTTGTCACTTTGTCAAAAAGAAATTTCTAGAGTAAAACAAAGAGAAGCAATTTCTACATTGCAATGAAAACCCTTACCTCAAATGCAGCACAGGATTTGACTGGGTAGAGGTACAAGTTTGTTACAATGTATGGACTGCTGTTTCCATCCAGGACTCCCTGAACTTTCTCTGAAGGAGTCTGCTGGCTTTCATCAACCTCACACACAGGTGGGCAAAGACCCATGACATTCACGGTAGTGGACAAGTCATCCCAAACTCTGGAGCTTGTGAGAGTGTCTTCCTGAGGTGAGAGATCACGTACACCCAGGACAGCAGGCGTGTTCAGAGCTTTTTGCTGTGTTGATGGGGCTGCAGCCTCCCTAGTGAGGGTTTGAGGAATAGGCCGGCCATCTGACGAATGCAATCGGGTTGCTATAATGAACCTGAGGAAGGCCTGGGCATCTTCAAGAGTAGACATGTATCCAAATGAAATCCTCACAGACCCTGTAGGCTGCCCATCTATGATGTCAACATTGTCTCCACAGACATGACCTGCCTAGGATAAAAGGGAAACAAATCAGCCAGAGTCATGAGTTCTGCTATTTGGACCCTAATATGGGAGTCAGGCACAAAGTTCACAAAGGCACCAAAAGACAGACCAGTGTTTCAGAAGCACTGAGGGTCAGCTTCATAGACTACTGTTATGGTTGAATTGCACCCGCTAAATACATACTAGAATCCTAACCCCTATTAATCACATGTGGAATAGAGTTTTCTTAACTATGTTAATACTATTGCAGGGTGTAAGGAGCTTGGTAGAACAGCACCTAAGGTATTTGACTGGTAATCAGAAGGTTGGTGGTTCAAACCCACCAGCAGCTCCATGGAAGGAAGTCAGGGCAATCTACTTCCATAAAGATTTACCACCTTGGAAACCCAATAGGGGTCGCTATGAGTTGGAATTGACTCAGTGGCAGTGGGTTTGGTTTTGGTTTTATTGTAGGGTGAGTTCTGAAAGCACTAATGAACTTTGAGACATAAAAAGAACAGACTAGACACCTAGAGAAGCAAGCACAAGTGGGGGAAAGATAGATACCACGGGGAGATCTCCAAGGAACTGAGGAACTCTGGGGCTAGAGGAGCTGAGACAAGGATTTCCCTCAGAGCAGACAGAGACAGAGAACCTTCACCTAGGAGCAATGCCCTGAAATCAGACTTCTGGCCTCCTGAACTATGAGAAAACAAATTTCTGTTCTTTGAAACCACCTATTTGTGCTATTTCTGTTAAAGCAGCACTAGGAAACAAAGACGACTACGCAGGCCTAAATTGGGAGAAGCACCTCCTGGCCACTCCCCTTAGCCTCTCTCAGAACAGAAAAAGGTATGTGTGTGTTGTAGGGAGGAGAAAACTGGGAAGAAGGGAGGTCTACATCCCTCAAGAACTGCCCTTTGACAAGAAGGCAAGGCAGAGATATTGCCCCTATGAGTAACTGGCCTGAGAACACTGTACAAAGGGCCAAAGGCAGCATGAGTGCCCCTGTTGGGAGCAGAGAGAGAGATGTCAGTCTCCAAGTTCTGCTTCCTGGTGTCCATCACTGGTCTGTGCAATGGGTGAGGCTGCCCGGACACCTTTTCCAATGCTGAGTTCAGGCCAGTCACCCTAAAAGACACACAACATTCTCATGATCAAATGTTGCATCTGAAACCACACTTATTTGTACTCTGATGCTTCTTTTAAAAAATAGTAAAATCACAGCAACAAAGGAAATGATAATATGAGAACATTATGCTGAGTGAAATAAGTCAATCACAAAAGGACAAATATTACATTAGTCCGTTATTGTAAAAGTTAAGGAAAGGTTTATCTATTGAAGGAAATTTTCTCTGTTGGTTACCAGGGGTGGGAGGGGAGGGGAGGGAATGCTGTTAGTTAGATAGAGATAAATATTGATTTGGGTGAAGAGAAGGGCAATGTACCAAATGTGAGTGACCAATATGGCAGCATTGAGGATGAGAAAGACATAGAGAGGTACAGGGGAGGTACAGACAACAAAGATGAACCCTTTTGCACATACAGTACTGAGTTGTAGGTGAAGGCAAACATGGGTATATGGATGGATAGATAGGTGGACAGGCTAAATGATTAGGTATGTCTATGAAGTGGGGAGTGTATCCAAGATCATATATAGGATTGGCAGACAATGGTCCTATAAGTTTATGTGAAGGATCAGAATTCCCAGGTGTATAGTAGAGCTGACAAGGGGCAAGGTTGTGGTCACTGTTTGGTCATAGCCAGCTACCCAGAGGGACCGAGTAGTTGAACCTGAGGGCTTGGGACCATAGTCGCAGGGGACATCAAGCTCAATTGGCATAACATACTATACAAAACATTGTTCCACCTCCTACTTTGGCGAGTAGCGACTGGGATCTTAAAAGCTAGCAAGCTGCCATCTAGATGTAATGATGGGTCTCTCTTCGTCAAGAGCAAAGAAGAAAGCAGAAAACCAAAATTAATGGAAACAATCAGTCCTAGCGACTGGTACACCATCCAATCTGCAACCTATACAACTATGAGACCAGAAGAACTAGATGGTGCCCAGCTACCACTGCCATCCACTTGGAAGGGATGTAGGAGATCCTGGATAGAGAGGGATAACAATGTGGAACAAAACTCAAAATCATTTGGAGGAAAAAAAAAAGAAGGTGAGGACCAGGTTTTCTGGTTCAATAGAGCCTGGTGGAACCACTGAGACTATGGCCCCTAGCTGCCCTTCAGGTCTGGAATTGACCACACCTGTGGTTTCCAGTCAAACAATGTACAGGCATGTGAGTTAAACATTTACCTCAAGTAGACACACGCCCTGGAGAGAACAATCATGGGAGAAGGAAGGGCTGCTTATGCACAGGGAGACAGCTCAGGGCACAGGAGAGTATGGAGGGTGGGTCACTGGGAAGAGGTAACTATGGGGAGGAAGGGGAGGGGAGCTGTTGCATTGTGGTAAACTGTGGTCAATGACATGAGACAAAGTATATGTGAACTGCTGTATAGAAAGTGAATTTGCTCTGTAAATCTTCACCCAAATGACAATGAATAAAAAATAAATAAATAAAATTTAAAAAGAAAAAAAAAACAGTAAAATCTAGTTTTTGGCTTAGTTGGGATCAAATTTATATATTTAGTGGCAGCCAATAGAAACGAGTTAAAAACTATTCAGAAACAAATGTTGGTTCTTTACTACTCAGACTATTCTTATGAAATGAGAAATAAGAGTAGGCTGTACCCTGCAGTGAAAAGCCTCGTACCAGAGGAGAGGCAGTGGCATGGGACGGGGGGGGGGAGATGGGAGACAGAGGCTGCTGGAACAGCTCCACTCCACACCAACATCAAACTCACTGCCACTGAGTAGACCGACTAATAGCTACTCCCATTGGGTTTCCAAAGCTGTAAATCATTATGGAAGCAGACTGCCTCAACTTTCTTCCATGTAGCAGCTGGTGGGTTTGAACCACCAAACTTTTTTGTTAGCAGCCAAATGCCTTAACCACTACATCACCAGAGCTCCTTCCACACCAACTCACTAACTCTACCCTGGAGGGTCTATCCTAGTAGAGTTGAACTAGTTAAGTGTCCAAACTCTATTCCATTTGGAATAGAGTTTTCTTAACTATGTTACTGTTGTTGTTGTTATGTGCCATTGAGTCATATCCGACTCATAGTGACCCCTCCTTGGGTTTCTGAGGCAGTATCACTATGGAAGTAGATTGCCCCATCTTCCTTCCGAGGAGTGGCTGGTGGATGTGAACCACCAGCCTTCTGGTTAGCAGTCAAGTGCCTTAGCCACTATGCTACCAGAGCTCCCAACTATGTTACTAAAGCTATACTACTGTAGGATATAAGAAGCTCTAGTGGCACAGCACCTAAGGCATTTGACTGGTAATCAGAAGGTTGGTAGTTCAAACACATCAGCCACTCCACAGAAAGACATTGGGGCAATCTACTTCCATAAAGATTTACTACCTTGGAAACCCAATGGGGGTTGCTATGAGTTGGAATCGACTCAATGGATATACCACCACATTCCCAGGTACCCCTTATCTCATGTTTAAATCTTTCCTCCCAAAGAAAAAAACAGTGCTATATAGATAATATACTGTAGTACTGTGTTCTATTTTTGTTGACTACCTTGAATGGTTTGAATCCAAAACCAAAACCAAACCCACTGCCATCTATGAAGTCGATTCTGACTCATAATGACCCCCATTGGATTTCCAAGGTGGTAAATCTTTATGAAATAGATTGCCCAGTCTTCCTTCTGTGGAGTGGCTGGTGAGTTTGAACTGGCAACCTCCTAGTTAGCAGTCACATGCCTTGGGCACTGCGCCATGGTGTCCTAATCTCTGGAACCTGTGTATGTAACCTTACTTGGAAAAGGGGATTTTTGCAGATGTAATTAAGTCGAGAATCTTGAGCTGAGTTTATCATAGATTCACCAGGTAGGCCTGAAATCCAATGACAAGCTTCTTTGCAAGAGACTAGAGAAGAAGCACAGACACGAAGAAGAGAAGGCCACATGAAGATGGAGCCTGAGACTGGAGTTATTCAGGCACAAGCCGGAGCTGCCAGAAGCCACAAGAGGCAAAGAAGGATTCTTGCTTAGAACCTTTAAAGGGAACACAGCCCTGCTAACACGTTGATTTTGGACTTCATTTTGGACTTGATTTTCTAAGTCTCCAGAACTTAGAAAAAATTCCTGTTTCATAAGCCACCGAGTTTGTGGTACTTTGTTAAGGTAGCACTAGGAAACTGAAACACCCCTTTTCCTTTGCATATCTACATGACACTAAGAAAAATACATCCACAGAGCCCCAGATATGCAGGCACATGTGTGATTGGAGGTGGCTGCCATTGGGCTTGTTTTGGCTGTGGGTGTAGAACCAACCTGAAAATGCTTCTTGACCATCTCGTTGCTTATCCCCAGGTGTCTTTGGCAGGCTCCAGTGTTACAGAAGCAGCCAGTTCGCACTTGGATGTTGTAAAGACTGGCCATTTTATCCACCTGCAAATTGAATATGACATAGAACATGTGTTAAAAATGCCCAGTTTTGCCCTAGTACATGGCATAAATAGACTACCAAGCATAATTCAAAACGCACAAACAGCAGAAGAGAAGCCAGATGATTGAGACCTTCTAAAGATTAAATTTTTATGTGTTTCCAAAGACTTCTCCAAAAGAGTCAAAAGAGAACCTACAGATTGGGAAAAAATACTTGGTAATAACATA